CCATGCAGTTCTGCCAACTGTCGTTGATGAAACAGGTCATTCTCAAATTTTGGCTTGCTTGAGAATAATCCGAGGGCTTGTTAAAACTCAGATTACAGGGGCTGTGCCATCAAAATTTCCTCTTTGATAAATTTGTTGTAAAGCCCTAAATATTGAATTTCTTACAAGTTCTGCACCACCTTACCCTTTGTGTTGGTCAGAATCAAATACTGAGAAATACTGCTGCACCGGAATGAATCCTCTAGGAACTTCTCCAAGGTTCTAGAATTTTTGTAGGGTTTATTTATGCTCTAACACAACATATGTTATTAAGATGTGTAGATAATACAATGCATTTCATACCTGCTGTTCTAGGTATTATTTTGCACACGAGTGACAAAACCCCACTGTAATATGACAAGCTGAGTTAGAAAAATTTAAACAGTTAAACTGTGAATTTGCTTTGATGCTGGATTAATGAAACAGCCTTCACAGCCAGCTGGCCAGGAGTGCCTGGTCAGCCTGCACATGGAAACCAGTTCTGCTAGTTACCATGGGGGCTTAGTGCCACCAAGTGGCAATTATTTGCTCTATCAATCAATAGATTTCATGATAATTCTTGGTCCTATACAGTGGTCAGGAAAAAACAAATGGCTTTGGCAAAGTAGTCCCTACCTCATGGTTTATAATGTTGTGCAAATGAACTGCCTTCATTCTACAAAGATTTTTTTTTAACATTTTCATCAGTCAGTATTTTCAAATTTATCTCTTAGAATAGACTACAAATACAAGTAATTTAATTTAGAAAATCACACTGAAATGCATTGTTAGATTTAGCTAGAGCAAATGAAAAATTTCACAGAAACAATATTTTCATCAATTTATACTACAGTTCAGAAATCTTTTCAGGAAAAAATCTGGTTTAATATTTCTGAGTGAATAACATAATTCTGTCCAATTCTTTCTATTGTGTAAGGATTTCAACAAAGGAGCAAAGGCCCAGAACAACAAATAGGTACCCCAAACCCAGGAACTGTAAAGTCTAAGCCCAAAGACCAAGTATGTAGGAGGTGCTGGGGTATTTGAAGCAACCTTAGCTGATGCTAATTTTCAAGAAAACTTGATCTCAAAACCTCATCAGTGTTTGATTTGGTGTGATAGCAATTACAGGTTTACTCCTAACCCACATGTCTTCAGCGACAGGGCAGACAGAATCTCAATTGTCTTCCAGGGCAGGTTTAGATAGAAGGCTGCCTTATGAAGGAACTCCTTGGAAGAATCAAAAAGTCTTGTCACTGATCAGTTCTGAACCTCAAGAGAGCGTTGGTTTAATTCTCAGACTAAATACCAACCAGTGTTTTTTGACATTTTCCATTTACATTTTGACCTTTTTTTCCATTTACATAGTATCACTGTTAGAAAAATAAAATATTTGGAGTAACTAAAAAAAGAAAACTTGTTAACTACTGAATGGGCAGTGCAAAACATTGTAAGACTGCTTGTGTGCTGTGGTGTGTCCCTGTCCCCCCTAATACCTTGAGAAAGGGGGTGCTCTCTAATGTTTGCACCAGATGGAGAGATGTGTGTCTCCTTCACATTGAGACTTGAGGACTGAATATTTGGCTCAGGTCTGAGTAATCTAGAGGAAAGGCGGTGGCCATTGCTGCCCCACTGGTGGCAAGGCAGAAGTAAGTTGCTCCATTGAAGGGGGCTGGCCTCATCAAGGAGGAGGCAAGGTTCATAGTTTCTGAGTGCCCTGTGGGAAAAGCCAATATGGTCATCTCAAAAGCAAAGCTCAAGAATTTTCATCTCTAACTAGCATCCTGATTCTGCTGCTGTGCCGATGGTCGTGACTCTGGTCCATCTCATCCCTATCTGGTGACCATCTAGTCACTAGGTTGTGACTAAGACTTTGAGAATCCAAAGCGGTTCCCCTGACACCCCACCCTCTAGAGGTATAACGATGGTAACATCATGCACATGCTAATGTGGGCAGAAACCACACTTTGTTTTATAAAGCTGGGAAGGGAGTCAAATGCTGTGTGAATTTTCAGATTACCACTTTCCTATCACAAAATATTTTGTGCGCTGCTACTGAATTTCAATTACACAAATATTAAATCACAGTACTTTCATGACAGCTTTGTCTATCCCTCCCTACCTCCTCCTTCTATTCCTCATGGTGAAGGCTTGTATGAATCAGACATTATTACCCTGTGTGCATGTACAAGAACCAGAAGTTATACTCCGTTTATGTATGATGTGTCAAAGTGCATTCTTGTGTCATGTATAACTAATTAGAACAAATTTAAAAATTTTTAAAAGTATTGAAACTTGTTATATAAAATAGCAAATTGAATAGACAACATGTCCAGTTTATAAATACAATGATTTCCTTGATGTAGTGTATTGAACATCGGCTGCAGTAATACAATCCCCAGGTAGAGGGCGCTGTGACATCACATTTACCTGTGCGCTGCGTAGTGAATTTCTGAATTGTTTCTGTAAAGCTTTATAAAATGGAAAAGGTTGATGGTCCCCTCACACTTCGTTTCTCCTTAAAATGTCACTTCTAATGCCAGTTAGAGGTGATAAATTCAGAGCTTCTATTGTCTGGAATGAGAAGGAATCTTTACAAATGATTTGGTCCATCTGCGTCAGTTCCACTGATATTTTTCTATTGGAGGTTCATTGATTTTAAATAATGTGTTCCAGCCATTTTATCAAATTACTCCTTAGATAAAAGAAGCCTCATCTTTAAGGGTTTTTATGGGTAGTTTTACAATTGAGGATACACTTGGTAGGAATATTTTGTTACTGAGGGTATTCCCGTACACTGGAACATTTTAAAAATCTGAACAGCTGAATCTGCTTTTCTGCACCACCTCACCTTTTGTATTGGTCATACAGAATATTGAGGTAATTCAAGGACTATTTAGTAAGTGGTAAACCACAAAATGCTCTTACCAGATGGTAAGATTCTATGATTATACAGGTTATTCAAATAAACATTGCCATAAATAAATGTCAAAACAAGATTTTAAGAAGTAATCTTTCACAGATATGATGTGAAGTTTCGATAAAAGCCAAAGCAATGCTAAAATCTTCTCAATTGGTTGTTGATTATTTCAAAACAGAGTGTAGATTGAAATGTGTATTTACTTCTTAGGACGTTAGTAAGATTTCTCCATTATTAGAATAATACAGAAGATACAAGAGTACAGGAAGGAGTGTAAATGGGCAGTTAGCTCTGATAGACCCCTATGAAGCAAAGAATAAAGAATAATCCCTATATCCAGGAGCAAAATCTCAATGTTCCTGTAAATATCTGCTCATATCTCATTGGTGGAAAATAGCCAAAGTGCACCTCTACCAACAAGGTTGGAAAGGCAGCTTTTAGCTGGGCATAAGGTCGGCCCTAGTAGAATTAGCCTGTTAACAAAGGAAGAAGTGAAGGAAGCCTCTCTGCCATACCTCTGCCAAAATCTACTTCTCATGAAGATGAGTTAAGTGGGGCCCAGTGTGAGTGAGCAATGTCAGTCATGTCTCAAGCTGGTGGCAGATCCAGGACTTTCTGCAACATGATGGATGCCCTCTTGCTTTTAATTAAGTCCTGCATCAAGTTCTATGTGTGTGTTGCTGGGGTAGGGTCTTAACAAGTTCTAAAGATTTTGCTTTAGCAAGGGCATAATAATATAAAGAATCTTGAATTACTAAGAGCTTTGCATATTCGTTCACAGCTAATAAAATCATAGTGATTTCATTTTCCTTTGGGAATACAGTAAGGCAAAATAAAGACATGATTCCTAACATGGAAATGAAGTGACGCTATGCATGTCAAACATCCAAGTTTGAGAGGCTACTTTTCCCACTATGGGAAACATATCCTCACACAAGCTTCACTTCTTCTACCAACCCGTAGCCTCCCAGCCTTAGAGAGCACCCCTCAATTTTTGAGGAGTGTGATTAAGGGACAATGATTGTCCCAGAATTTACAACTCTCCTGGCAGCAATAAATCAAGGCCACTTTGAAAAGGGCTTTGGCAGATTGTCTTCTATGGCCTGGATATTAAAATTTTGTTTTTCTAGAAGAGTTGTGAACAGAAAACATTGACTCTCCCTTGCAACTATTAATCAGCCATTCAAATACCCATTAAATTCACACATTCAAGAATGTAATACTAGCCAGGAACATGCCTGTTGTCCCAGGGACTTGGGAGGCTGAGGCAGAAGGATCGCGAGTTCAAAGCCAGCCTTAGCAAACGCCAGGTGCTAAGCAACTCAGTGAGAACCCTGTCTCTAAATAAAATTAAAAAAAAAATAGGACTATGGATGTGGCTCAGTGGTTGAGTACCCCTGAGTTCAATCCCCAATACCCTATACCCCTGAGAAAAAGAATGAAACACTATGTAAAGTCATATCATAATAAGAAGACAATGTTACCTGTCACTACTTGTAATCTAGTACCACAAAGAGGTGATAGGCCGAAACCTAAAAGGAAATGTTTTCTAAAACTTGTACAATATTAAAAGTATATCATTTGTATTATAGAATGCAACACAGACTAGCAAAACAAAAATGACTTAATTCACTTGGAAAATGGGAAATTATTTTTGTTTGTATTAATTAATTAATTAATTTTTATTTTTGCAGTACCAGAGATACAAACTAAGGGCCATCCTACCACTGAGTTACATCACCAGCCCTTTTTAAAAATTGTGAGACAAGGTCTCACTAAGTTTCTGAGTCTGGCCTTGAAATTGTGATCCTCAGGCCTCAGCCTTCAAAATAGCTAGAAGAACAGGCATGCGCCATGGCATCCAACATCTTTTTATTTTTTTATATCTTTAACTTATTATGATTTCATGGTTCTCCAAACATGATGACTTATTTGAATAGTGTAATCTTAAATTGCAAAAATATGTTTTCCTTCCATTTGTGACCGATGTCTGGGAAATAAAAACCAAAGCCTAATTTTTTAGTTATAAACTCAGTTTTGTGTAATTTGTTTCTAATTGCAGTGGGAAAAACTACAGATGACAACAAGTGAAAGGAGAAAAATATTCTGCTCTGTCACATTCCATGTCATCGCCATCACCTGTGTGGTTTGGTCTTTGTACGTGTTGATAGACAGGACGGCGGAGGAAATCAAGCAAGGCAATGACAATGGTAAGAGCGGTCTTTTCTCTCCTCTCTTGGATCCTAATGACTGTACCCAGACGTGGGCAGGGAAGCTGTTGACCGGTTTGGGTTTAGCTGTGCTGACGTATGAATAAAGCCAGTGATGGCAGTTATGACTCCCTGGATTAACTCTGACTAGAAGGCACCGAGTACAAAGGGTGCTGAAGTGAGACGAGATGTATCAAGTTCATATAAAACTTAGCAGGGAGAAACTCACAGATGACATTTGCCCCTTCAGGTTTTCCAAGAGTAGAAAAAGGATCAGCTTCTTCCTGATAGGAAAAGGCGAACAGTACTAAAAATGGAAGGATTTTAAACTGTATTCAGTCCACCCTACTCATGGCTTCTTTTTATGCATGAATAAGATGACATTCCAGTAGAGAACATGTTATAGCTTCTTAGTACTACATAATGTGATAGCATGGATTAGCACCATGGTTTAAAATTTTAATTATGCCCAATGCGATTGTGAAGATTGGTGTCAAGACTACAAAAACAGATGTTTCAAAATGTATTTTTACATTTAAAATGGATAGATCATTTGCAACAGAAGCAAAAATGGGAAGCACCGTGGCTGTAAAATATCATTTGCATTCACTTCTGAAGACAGCCTGCCGTCCTCTCTCTCACTGGGTGGTGGCTGCAGTACATGCCTAAATCGTGGCTGGTGAAACAGGGAAAAATACTCCCATGCCCCAAGTCGCAATACCATCTGAACAATTTCTCCTTGTGAATTTGAAAGGAGAAATTGTTCAGATGGTATATTTTGAGTTTATAAGAGTTATGAAAAATATTTATATGCTATCCCCCAAAATAGAAAAACTAAAGAAAGAAGAAGGTAGGATACAGTGAGAGAACAAAGAAAGAAAAGAATTTTAAAAGAGAAGAGCCTGCCTATCCTGTTCCCTTGTATTTACTCATGCAGACGGGGTTGTATTTAGACTGTAAGGATCCACAACATGCGCTGTAGATGCCCTTTATGTACTTCAAGGGGAGGGGGAGGAGCAAGAGCCAGGGACAGAGCTGAAGATCCTACTACTGTCCTTTCCCCAAAGAGTGCAAACGCTGCTAAATCAAGTGTAAAGGCCAGAAAATCGGGCAGACCAGAGCCTCTGGTTTTGATTTGTTTGTTCAGGATTAACTCATTTATATACTTTATCATTTATATCAAACTACTTTGTTTGCAACTACATTATACATTGTTCCAGAGATTATTGATTTTCAAATGTCATATTAAATTCACATGATTAAATAAATTCCCTGAGGATAAGACCTTTCTTATTTTCTTTCTTTCTTCTTCTTATTTTTTTTCCTTAACCCCTTCCCTCTAGCCATAGGTACTGGCCCATGCCAAATTATTGAAAGTGTGCCCTAAACACCGCAATCAGGTAGTCCTGTGTGGATGGGAAAGCAGACTCGTCCCCATCTAATTTCGCCCAATGTACTACCTTAGGACTCCTGCATTCTAGCAACCCAGGGCAGACCTGCTGTAGAGACCTGTTGTGGCTAATGTGGTGCTCAGTGTTGGAGAGCCATGCATTTTCCCTAAGTCAATGTGGCCTCAATCCTGTGCCCCTGCCTTGGCCTGGTCACAGTAGACTGCAGGCTCTTCTCCTCAGGCCACAGATGAGGGATGGAAGGAAGGCGAAAGGCTAGAATCGACAAGCAGCAGTCTCATTTCATCCCCGCTAAGACCCTCATAACCCATCCAAAAGAAACCCCTCAGGTTTATTTTAGCTGTATTTCTGAAGCATGTGAGATGTGACCATTCATCCTACAACTTCAGCTCAGCTTCAGTTTATCTCAACTTCAGCCAACAGATATCTCCAGTCCCCAAGAGACCTATTGCCCTGCCACATTTCTGTCTCCCTGCTCATTCTTCCATCCCCTGGTTATTCTTACATCCTTAGCTGCCATTTCTATGCTGATAGCCGCCAGCTCCATGCATCCTCCTGCCTCCTGGACACTTTTGTTTGAAGGTCTTATAGGTGCCCCAACCTCACTGTGTCCAAACTCATGGTCAACCCCACACCTCACCCCTACACTGTGGGAGAGGCAACACTGTACCCAGCAGCCAAATCCACATCTCAGGCTTTCATTCCTGATCTGTCCTCCTCTTCTTTATATCGATCATCAAATCCCATTTATTCTGCCTCTTATGCCCCTAGAATCTGTCCATTCGTCTCCTTCTCTATTGACACCAACCATGTACAAAAACTTCTTACCTAGACTTTCTCCAATTTTGTCCATCTTCAACTCATGCTTGGTTATATAATCACAGCAAATTTACAAACCACAGATCAAATCAAGTCCTATCCCCATTTAGCCAATAATCTTAATATATAACCCAAACTCCTTATGGGACTCTGCTGTCCCCAGGACTCAGGTGTCACCAGTGAGAGTGAACATCTGTTCTGCTCCTCAGATCTACTTGCAGACCCTTGCTAAGCTTTGCCCTCTATGAAAAACGGCTTCCTTGTCCACTGCCACTGCACATAGTTAAGACTTAAATATTTCAAATACCTCCCTAACCCAGACTCAGCCTTGGCATGTAAATACCAGTCTCTGTGGGAAACCTGGTTCAACTCTACAAACTAGGATAATTATTCCCAATACAGTGGTTCTCAGAATGTGTCACAGGAACAGAAGTGTCAATATCCCTTGGAGATACACACACACACACACACACACACACACACACACACACACACACACACGTGAATAAAGATTCTAACTAACCTCTCACTCTTGTAGACTACTGTATCAGGAATCCCAGGATGCAATTAGGTAATTTGTACTTTAAAAGTCTACAGGTTATTCCGATGTCTGAGAGCCACTGCCCTGCCATGTGCTTCCAGGACCACCCCTCACTTGGCCCCACCCTGGCTCTCCGTCTTCCTTGCACACTGGAATTACCTGTAGAGTTTCTACGTCACCATAAAACCTGTGGTTTATCCCCACAGATTCAGTCTAATCATCCCTTATGTGATTCCTGTCACGCAGCTATGTTGAGAATCTGTCCTGCCACGTGATTTACCATGTTAATGCACTTAACTATCTGAGTCCCCTCACCTGCTCAGACAGGTGGGGATATATTTGTCCCTGTCACCACATATCTCATGCTCATTGCCTCTGGGAGGTGGCAGTTGGTCTGGTCCAGTCAATGTCATAGAAGGAAGGATGAGGTATGAATTCCTTGTACCTGAGATTTTCCCCCTTTTACTTTCCTTTTAGAATTTTCTTTGAATATTTTCTTTTCAATTTTGAGTGGTTGCTGGATCTCAGTCCACTGTCTCACACTTGACTGTCCCTTAGGGCAGACACACTGTATTATACATTATATATAATTTAGAGATCTTTCAGTTTCTTAAAGGCAACTAAAAAATGACATCATTTTTATCTTCAGTGTTTAAAGCTTTTGAATTAGGTAGCCAGGTGTTTATCAAGAAATGGTGCCCATGGCTATCTCTGCAGAGTCACATGCCAGTGGGATGGCTCCCAGGCCACATATGAAAGCCACAGTGACATGTGTAAAGAGTACCCTCTGGATTTATGTTCAAATTGTTTGAAACCTTACTTACCCATGCACATATTTAAGTGGAGTATGGGCATCTGTCTGAATCATTGTTATGTTCATCTTCCTCTGGCATTGGGACTGTGTTGATCCTGAATTTACGCTTAAAGTTATTAGGAAAAAAAATCAACACATAATTTAAAGGTCAACATATTTCAAATCTATCTTGGAAAACCTTCAGAAATAATTGGAGAGGAACAAATTGTCCTTTTCAACCAAAACTGAGGTTGAATATAAAACAGCAAAATTTTTGAGCTGTAATGACAATACTGGGAGAAAAAAATATTCTCCATATGTTTGAGAAGGGTTATTCTTTTAGATTAAAATGCATGATGCCCCAGATGGCTCTCGCACTCCACTCTTTCATTCCCCTGTGATGACAGAAAATAAAGTAAAATAAATGAAACATATGGAACTTGAAAATTTTAACACTCTAAATCACCCTTGTTACTGACTCTAATTGGGGCAACAATTGTTCTTCCTGCCTTCTCTTTACAGGTTCTAGAAGAATGTTCTCATACATTATTTGTTTGTTAAAAATGTAACACAAAACACGAACACCAACCAAAAAAAAAAAAAGCAACAATTTATACTATCCATTTGAGGTATTTTCAAATTTCAGAAGAGTTTCCACAAGATACCTTGTGGATAGGACTCAAGTGTAAACATGAAATGTTTGTGTTTTTTATACCTTAGACACCCAGCTTTGTTCAGTATGCTTAGTGGGCCTGTGTTTCAGCTGCAGCCCATTTACTGGGGTGGAGCTTTCCACAGTGACATTGTGTTAGTTCTCAGAAATTTTTGGATTTTGTAGCATTTTAGATTTTTGATTTTTAGATGTGGGATGCTTAACCTATGTCAAGGAGACTGTAGGTGCAGATCTTAAAGTTATCCCAGATTTATTTAAAAATATATACCACAAGGTTTATGCTCACATAATGAGTTACTTTTATTTTCATGGCTGACTCACTTGTGAGCCTCTAAGCAACTCCGGGGCAGGGGCTCCACCTCATTCTCAGAGCACCTTGGTATTAGTAGAGATTCAAACATTTTTTTTTTCTAGCTGTGGCTGACTCTAGCAGATAAGAACAACCCAAATATAACAATCACTGTCTTGGGATAATTATCTGAAGAAGAGACTTCTGGTTCTGTCCTAGTCAATGACTAGCTATCTTGAACAAAATAATCATTAATCTCTCTGAAGTACAGTTTCCTCTTCTATGAAACTAAGCAAGTTAGATTTTGTGCCTTCTAAAGTTTCTTTGTATGACTTTTTTTCAGAAATCATGCACTTTGCATCAGGTAAACTGAAATGTGTATCCATAAATAATGCATATTTATCATATATGTTTATTCATATATTGAAACAAATTAAGGAAAAGATATGTGAAACAGAGTTGTTTTTATTCAATAA